AAAAAAAAAAAAAAAAAAAAAAAAAAAACTCACTGCTGTAGTTGATCACGTATCCGAATAAATTTAAAAGTGTTTCAAGCTTTGGCCTCCCTGAGTAAATCTATACTTCCCAAATCTTGGTTCATCTGATACAACATTTCTAGTTTAGCTTAGGATGTCCCCATTCATTTTGTAGTTCACTCCTTCTGGAAGAGAGACGAGGTGATGCACATGTGATCTAAAGAATTTTCCATTCTTCCCCTTCTTAATTCATGTTTTTGTTCTGTGCACTGTGCTTGAATTTTTCAACTTCTGGAAGCGTTACATGTGAGTCCCAGAGACCTGCTGTGTAATCAGTTCCTTGTCCTTCAGTTCCTGAAGACAATCTGTGATGTAGGAGGAAAGGAAAAGGTCAGAGCAGGCTAGAGGTCAGACTTGAGCTCTGTTCCTTAGAAAAAGGTAGAAATTAATAAAGTAGAAGAGTGTAGTAAGGATATGTGAAGACTGTGGCAGGGTTAGGGTTAGAGTGAGAGATTGGGCAGATGTATGGCATATCTGGGAGAATCAATTGGTATAGAGTAGAGAATCTAGGATGTTTATACTAAAGCCAGCATCTAAAAATTCACCATGATCTCTCCCAGTCTTTAGGATAGTAAAACTTCCCATTTACAATGAAATACATATTTTAAATGAAGAAATAAATGGAAGCTGCCTATTTGGTTTTGCCAGACGTGGAGAGAAAGCTACAACAATAAAAGCAGGTCTCAAATGTTAATCACCTGTGGCATAGTAGTTAACTTAGAATAATATTGAAATGTTTTTGCATCTGATATTCTCCACAAACCTGTCTCCTTTTATGTGAATGCATGTCAGTATATAAATTGCTAAATCCATGTCAGTTGTAAAGTAATGGCACTGAGGGCATCATAAATTACCATGGTGATCCTCAGGAGAAGACACTGTCGTATCTGAATGAGTGTTTCACTTCCAGAGTAATGTATGCCTTCATCTGGCCCAGCAGTCAGCATATTGCCCTGTGTTGATGGATATTGTCAGCTGGAAGCTACACTACATTTCACTGCACAATAAACATGGCTGTCAAACCCATATAAAGTGAAATCAATTTATCCTGTATGGTCAGTGCATTTTAAATGAAATTAATGTACTGTGGGTATGGTGGCAAAAAGGTATCGTATTAGTTATGCATCTTGGGATCTAAGACTTTTCATGTAAACGATCATTCTGTCTAGTAGGCCTAAAAGAAGGGCTGTTTATAAAATATGTTATTTCTGCACAATCTTCAGAAAGTAGCCTTTCTGCCCTCCTTCCTGTTTAGAAAAAAATTCATGTTAGCTAATCCCACCCCTTTATACTGCCTTTTGTTTGCAGTAAATGATGACCATATTTGCTAAATAATAGTGCACTATAATGTTGTAATTTATTACTGGCTTTGACACAAATTTCTACTTAACCAACGTATCTAAAAATAGAGTCGAAGGGCCAGAGATTGATTGAATCATGTTGGTCCTGTATAATAACTTCACTGAGCAGAAAGGGTTTACTTTTTTCAGAAAATAGAAATGTTGGTTTTATTGTGTATTTTGCTTCTAAACTTCTGGGTGTAGGCATTCCTGTTATGTGGTAGAAGCCTTGTCTGAGGCTACCAGTTTGACCACTTTACCTTTAATTATAGAAGTTCTCAATCTAGGGGAGATATTCAGGAGTTGCCATATCACAAAGTATACATCAGCATATCACCCTAGTAGGGTGCATGAAAACAAGCAAGAGCCATGTTCATTCATTCATTTATTCATTCAGTCATTCATTAATGTAACACATTTTGCTAATTGAAATCCTATGTGCCAAGTACTTCATTGAATCCTAGGAATACAGCAGTTAATGAGACCCAGCCCTTGCTCTGTCTTCAAGGAGCTTTCATCTAGTATGTTGCTACAGTCAGCTCTTTGGAAATTATAAAACATCAGGAATTTAGGCATAGTTTCATAGATGTTAAAGAACTACCCTTAAACAACAGAAAAAATAGATCAGCAATCTTGAAATAAATGCCTCTAAATCTACGACTTTTGCATATGAGGTGAAAACCAAATAATCTTTGTTTAATGAATATTTTATTATATATTATGTGGGAAATCCTGAGGATACAAGAATGAGTACAGCATAATCACTAAATTTAGGTATCTCATATTCCTGAGAGGAGTGGAAAGGAGGAAGCATGTCTATGGGGCATGTCTCCTGAAAGCAAGAGGAGTGAGTGCAGCCTGGGGAGCATCATTGCAAATGCTGTTCCTTTAGCCTGAATTACCCTTCCCATCTGGCCTTACTCCCTCTCCCACTCACCTGCTGATTCCTATTTGTTCTTCAAGACTCATTTTAGGCATCACATCTCCTAGGAAGCACTAGCTGACCATTCTGTCTGGTGCTGTTTTGGTGCCCTGTTATTGTCAATATTGCAGCCCTCTCACCTCCTTTGTTTTAATCATCTGTCCTTACTCTGAACTGTGACTCCTTTAAAGCTTGAGCTGTTATATTTACCATGGTCTCCTTAGCACCTGGTATAAAACCTAGGTTATAGTAATTGTTCAATTAATATTTTTCATTGAATTAATTCATTCAATCATGAAACATGTCAACATTGAAGGATGAATGGGATTTAGCATGAAAGAGTAGGAGAGGGGTCTTCTAGGCAATGAAAAGAGCACAGGTCAAAACCATATTGTGAAAAAGAATTCTATTTGTAGGAAACATATAGAGTGGTTGTGATCTGGGGCAAACAAGTGTAAAATGACAGGTAAAAGCATGCTTTTGAAGAAAGGAATTACAGCAGCAAAGTTTGCCATAAGGTAATGTCATTCACTGCTGTATCATCACCTAATATTGATTGTAGTCAATGTGGTAAAATTAATTCTTAGTATGTTTTTGAGGGCTACATCAGAAAAGCCTATAGAATTGTCATTTGAACCTGCCTTCTACTTCCAAGAAGTCACTTAGAAAATAAGAGGAGGACCTGAGGAAAACAGCTGATCCAAGCTGTGTGACATTATCCACATAATAACGCTTTCCACTCATCTTGTTCTTCCTGCCCTGACATTACAGGAAGTAAAGCAATGAATGGCTCTGCAGCTAAACTACAGCAGTATTATTGTTGGCCAACAGGAGGTGCCACTGTGGCTGAAGCACGAGTCTACAGGGATGCCCGTGGCCGTGCCAGCAGTGAGCCACACATCAAGCGACCAATGAATGCATTCATGGTTTGGGCAAAGGATGAGAGGAGGAAAATCCTTCAGGCCTTCCCCGACATGCATAACTCCAACATTAGCAAAATCTTAGGTGAGTTCTGAAGCACAGCTAAAGCTGATCTTCTCCCCCGTGAGTCCCATGAGTGCCACCGGGTTGGGAAGCAGGGGCGTAACTAAGATCCTAAGGGAGACTAGGGGGCACAAGTTAGATGACGATCAGCCAGCTGCCACTGGAGACTTTGTCATCATGTCTGCCTCCCCCACCCCACAATGTGGCATTTAGGTTTGGGAGTTATATCCACCAGGTGCCAGGGCAGCACTGGCTAAACACTTATTTTAGAGACAAAACTATTTATAGTATGTGTTAATACTGGGAATTTAGCAACTCTTGAGAGGTCACAGGAATCATGGAGACAAGCTTTATCTCTTTTTACTGTGCAGTTCTCTTAAATTCATACGTTGCTATGAAATACTCGTAGACCCTACGGTTTTCTGCTTTAGTGTTCTTGGGTTCATATATCCCACTGAAAGAATTCATCAAGGACTAGAAACCCAAAATGGTGTGAAATTCATGGAGTGCAGAACAGTGTCTCTGATGATCACTTTAAAACTTGTAAAATAAATCTACATTTATTTTAATAAGATATGACTAGTTCAAATTTCATAGCAGTGAGCTGAACACATGAACCACAGGGCAGTGGCCCATTTTGTGGTAAATTGCCAGAGTGATTCTCTATTTCTCAGGATTAAACTCAAGCCTTGTTCTGTTAGTACAGAGCTTGCCTAGTGCAGATTGTACAGTTTGGAATTATTGTACTCAACATGTTAAACATATTTTATTCAACATGCAGCATTACAGTCAACATGTTTCCTCTTTAAAAAGGAAAAACACAGAAGGCACTGTTCTACTTAAGCTGTCACGATGTGACAGAATCTCAAAGGAAGCCATTTAAGAAGCTGAAAAACATTAGAGACTTAAACTGTGGTTTTAATTTTTTAAATGTTTTGTTCAAAAGTAATAAATATTTAACCTGAGTAAATATCAGTGATCTGGACATGCACAGATACACATGTTTTGTCACTGTGTAAATAATTTAACTTGATTTTGAGGCAGTGACCTCTAACAAAAATTTAAAATATACATAAGCTCAAATACTAGTGAAATGTTAAAAAATGTTTTTCTTTTTTTTCTTTTGATTTTCTACTTTCAAAATGAATACTAAATGTCATTACAATTAAGTTTGGTTTTTATTTTTAGAGCTTCAGAGTTATGCATAGGGATGTTATTCTTTTGAATGTAAATACCTTTCAAACCGAAAGTTCCTAATAGACACATTTTTTTTTCTAGTAAAACGACATTCTAAAAGAGAAAAAATTAGACTTTTCTGGCCTTACAGTTTTATATCTAACTTTGAGATTTTCGTATTTTTCTGCACTTTTAGTATCAATATGTGTTAGCTTTCAGATAGGCACAGAACCTCTGTTTCCATTTTGGCAGCTGTGGGGAATCTATATTATTGGTGTGCATTCTGTGAAAAAATTATTAAGAATATAGTAAGTATGTTCATTAAAATGTAAACTTTTAAGTGCAAGCATTTCAAGAGCACCAAGAATTCTTTGTTAATTGGGGCTTTAAGCTGCTGGAAGCCAGCAGAACACAGAGAAACCTATCTGCATAGACCGTCTACACAACTTTTGCACAACAATCAGGAAAAAGCAGGGATGGATGTGCTATTAAAGCAGACCAGGATATTGCGGGCTGCAGAGAGTATTTGTACAACTTTTCCATTTGTTTATGTATGAAAAATCTCCACTGAAGAATAGCTAACATCCAGTCTGCACAGCTGTTACCGCTTTATTCACCAGCGAGACACAAAAATGCAATTTGATACATGTAAAAAAACACATCCCCTCTTTGTCAAGTGTTTAGATAATTCTTTATAAACAATATTAGAGAAGTGAATACTTATCCTTCTTCCTGTATAAACCGTATTAAAAATTTTTGTACTTTAATTGGTACAGCTTTGAATGAGCGTTTATAGTACTTGAAAGTGGTATATATAATTCCAAAGGTATCTTCCGGTTCTAAAGCTATAAATTCTTAAGTAGAGCTTAGGTTTTTTAATTACCTAGGCCAGGGGTGACGTGTACACAGTAGTTTTTTATATATGGAATGATTTCAACATCTGCTGACATCTTGTCAAATGATAGTTTTGCTAAAGATAGTTGGAGTTTGGGAGATGTTTGAATTTCTAGGACCAAGAAAGCTTTTCCTGAGAATTGTATCATGCTCAAAAGTGTGCTTAGGAGGTTTAGCCTTTTAAGCTTGTTGAGAGGATAGGCATGTGGATGGGAAAGACCTTGGTGTAGGCAATGATCTTTAAGCAGCAAAGATATATTTTAAAACACTATAGTAGCATCAGTCTTAAACTATTGAGAGAAATAATATGAGAAAGTATGATATGCAAAATTGTTCTTTGCACTGTAGTCTAAAAGTCTAGGTGGGAGGGCCAGTGATACGTGGTAACTGGAGCCACCCAGCACACAGATGAGTGAAGTGGTCTGAAGATATATCTAATTGTGTTTGCCTGGAATATGTTGCCTTGACTACTTTGGTACTTAAGCCTATTTTTATTTCTAGGATCTCGCTGGAAATCCATGTCCAACCAGGAGAAGCAACCTTATTATGAAGAGCAGGCCCGGCTAAGCAAGATCCACTTAGAGAAGTACCCAAACTATAAATACAAACCCCGACCGAAACGCACCTGCATTGTTGATGGCAAAAAGCTCAGAATTGGGGAGTATAAGCAATTGATGAGGTCTCGGAGACAGGAGATGAGGCAGTTCTTTACTGTGGGGTAAGTATTGAATTTGGCCACCTGGGCCTTTCTTTTGCAGTAAGTAACTGCAGGATGGCTACCAGCAGTATGTTTGGGAAGGATATTAGAGAAGGAGGAGGTTGTGACATACTGAAGGGGCTTGGCCATGAGAATCTTTGCTGTGTCATCGGGGCACAGTCTTGCACCATGGCTCCTATTCAAATTAAGCCAAACCTGGAACAGCTCACTCTCAGCTGATCACTCCTGTCATTGTCTCCCCAGCCAATTTAAGATGCTCAGTGCCCACACACAGAGTTTCTGGTAGTTTATTTAAGCAGACATAGAGAGGAAAAAAAATCAAAACTAACCTTAAGAAATCCCCAGAAGCTTTCCAGCTTCTCTGGGTGTGCTTCTGACTCTAATCACAATAGTCTGCTTTTGTTGTGGGATCTACCACAAGATAATTGGCCTTGACATTGGTTAGAGGACTTCATTTTTGGCATAAGATCCAGAACTCCTATTGCAGTAAATTACTGTGTGGTAGGAGAAGTAACAATATGTATTTTCTTGCTTAAATCAGAAACTAGACATGCTTTTGATATCTTCAAGTCTGATTTCATGTCATTTTGTTTAAAAATTAGGTAATAGATTTCTGGTATAAGTTTCGACTTGGCTGACTGGCTGTCTGCATTCAAAAGAGGCCCCTCATAACCACAGTAGTCAGGATAAGCGGGGATGCAGACGACTGTAGATTCTGGCATATCCAGACCTAGAAGCATAGACGGGTGGCAAACCCAGAGGGCCATTTGAGGCACAGACATGAAGCAGCTGTACTCAGAGTAGGGAACACTTGAGAAACAGCTTGAGAGAGAGAAATGGAGTAAGCAAGAGGGAAGCTGCATTTGCTGTGAACTTAGAGGAGAATTGAGGAGCTGTGCTGTGCTAGGGAATTAAGAGATCTTCACTTGAAGGGAGAAAAAGAGATATCTTAAAGGAGAAGTAAAGAGCTATTTATTTTTAAGAGCACTCAAGAGGTAACCCCATGGAACAAAAAGTTGGTTTCAGAGCATGTGTTTAAAAGGAATAGTAACTAGACTAGGAAAAACAAAGCCAATGAAAGTAGTGTGGGTCATGAATCTGTGCAATACACTGTGGTGTTTTGGGGAGGAGTGTGGGCTTTGGAGCTTCACTCCTGGGGTTCACATACTGACTGTCCCATCTACCTGGGCAAGTTATTTAACTTCTCTAGCTTCTGTTTTCTCATGTGTAAAATGAAACTAATAGCAGAAGCTATCTTGTGTGATTGTTAAGAGGATTCAATGAGGCAATGCTTTTAAAAGTAGTTTATATAGTGCTTAGTACAATATCAAGAAAGGTGAAGTCTAGCATTATCATTACTATTTAATATGTATTTATTATCACAGAAAATGATATTTTATGTCACACCAGATGATCAATGAATTTCTTTATACCACAACAGAACCTCTTAGAGGTAGAGAGAAGCTTAAGCCACTTTATTATTCAAAGATCCCAGTATGTTAATAAATGAAGACATGACAAACTAGGATTATCAAATTCCTATATATTATAAATGTTTGCATATGTAAAGGTAATGCTTTTAATGTGGAAAAGTACAATGCAGTATAATTGGACTAGTCAGATGGTAATTAGAGGTTTTATGAAAAATACTAATTCATAGTCCACTTTAAGATTGTGTGATAAACATTCTCTTTTAATCCTGTTAGTACACCTCTAAGATAGTATATAATCTCTTTTGAACCATCCAAAGTTTCAGTTTGAGACCTTTTGTGATTCCTCCCTTTTTCCCCAGTCGTGTTCCCTGTGTATGTAGTGATACATAGTGAGGCTGTTTCACGAGTCTGGAAGGCTACCAAAGGTACTGTTTAATACCTTGATATAATACTTATTTGAAAATATGAGTTGCAGTGATACTATTGAATTTAGTTCCCTTTATTCCCTTTACTAAAGGATACATTAAAACAGCTCTGAATCAAAATACCACAACATGTACCAGTACATGTAAAATAAAACAACTTAATAGCATCTATTATTTATAGACTACCTGCTGTATATTAGGATTTTAGATATATAAATCACATAATTCTCTAAGTAAGATAAAGAAGTTGAGGTTTAGAGTGTTCCTATGGCTACCGAAAGGTGATAAAGAGTGAAGCTTCAAATTCACATCTTGGCCCCCCATCATGCCAAGTGACTCAGGAACTGTCCTTACCACTTTGTCTCAATATATGCCTCATAGCCCTATGGTGGCAGTCATGAGTGTGGCTGTGCCATCTGAGCAAGAGCTCTTAGCACTAGGAAAAAATGAAGTCTCTGCTTGTGGCATATGGTGCATAAAAAGAGCTTTGAAATTTAGAGACTAAGTATCCTGCTCTTGATAGTGTAGGAGAGTCCTTTATGGAAGATCATTTTAGACTGCGGAATAGGGCTATTGAAGTGCAGACAATGATCAGAATGTCTTATTCTTTAATCTCAATGCTGAGCATTTTCCTCTGCTCAGCTTTGATAAAACTTGCTACATAGAACCAGGTGTTATTTCTGCTTAAGGATTTGTATTCTCTTTTAAGTAGCTGTAGTTGATAGATTATTAACTTCCTGAGGTTTATCTTTGGATATTGATCTTTATTAGATATGAGGTTATTATAAGAGTAGGGAGAAAAACAAACAAAAAATTCAAATATTGCTATTGACATCTTGATGGAATGGGTTGAGATCAATTTTTATAGCTGATTTTGAAAAGACATGCATAATTTTCAAGCCAATAAAAGTGCATATACTGCTAAACATTTTCATGCATTTTACTGACTAAACAACTGTGGCTGATGAGTTAGATTTTTTTTTATTACTTAGCTATTATGAAATGAATTTATCAATAATATGGAATGGAGCAAAGTTAGCTCTTGCCTTGGTTTTAACCTCTTCAGTTTGCAGAATAAGTATCAGAATATTGTAATAATCCTGATAAGGGTACTATTAATGTAGAGGCAATATTCATTAGGGTACATATAGCTACAATGATGTCTTCCCAAAGAACTATGACCAAATATACTTCCATTTATTTGAAACTTATTTGGTAATTTACCTATGAATGCATAGAGAATTATGCAGGTACATTCAGCCCTCCGCATCTGTGGGTTCTGCATCTATGTATTCAACCAATTGTGTATCAAAAATATATACTTTTTAATTCCAGAAAATGTTATATTATTGCTAAGTTACACTGTGTAGTTAGGTCTGCAGTGGTTGCATCTCTATGGAACATGTACAGACTTTTATTTTCTTGTCTTCATTTCCTTAACAATTCAGTATAACAAGTGTTTACATAGCATTTACATTGTATTAGCTATTATAAATAATGAGATTGCTTAAAGTATATGGGGGATGTGTGTAGATTATATGCAAATACTATATCACTTTAGGGACTTGAGCATCCTCACATTTTGTTATCTGTGGAGGATCCTAGAACAAATTCCTCATGACACTGATATAAAACTACTATAAATATTAAATTTAGGGCTAGTTTTTAAGGAAAGATAAAGATACATTATTGAATACTTACTGTGTGCTATATACTCTGCTGAGTAGATTGTACAGATTATTGCAAATACAACAAATTTACAAGGTAGGCAATATCATTCGCACTATACAATTGAAAAACACAATATTCAGAGATGTTAATTTGTCCAAGGCCTCACAGCTAGTTAGTGGCAGAGCTGAGATGTAAATCAGGCTTCTGTGAATGTGAAATATATGTCGTTTCCACCAAAGGATATTGGTAAGGACATGACATTACGCACACAGAGACTGTACAGTGTAGTAGTTAAGAGCATCAATTCTGGAATCAGACTATTCTGGCTCAAATACTAGATCTGCACCTCCTTGGCTGTAGGAACTAATACACGGCAATCTTTATTCCTCTGAACTCACCCTTGCCTTTGGGAAGCATTTAATCTCTCTCTACCCCAGTTTCCTCATATGTAGAATGAGAATGACAATACTGACGACATGACACATTCAGGACTCTTCTTGAAGACTGAGTAACTTAATATTTACAAAGTGTTTAGAACATTGCCTAGCGTATGAAAAGCTCTAAATTCAAGTATATATTATAATTCTAGAAAAATAATACTGTGTGTCAAGTATATATTCTATATTATATTAAAATAATTATTTTCAGTGCCTTGTGCTATAAGTGATTTGAACATTTGCCATTTTAATCTTAGTTTTTAAAAGGGTGAATCAATCCTATTTAAGATACTTACAAAATACAAGTAAATTAGCACAGATTAGCCATGCTCTTTTAAGTATTTCCTCCTGTAAAGACCCTGGATTAGAAGATTCAATAGGTAAAATGAACAGATTACTATTATTTCTGTTCCTTCCTGCGATATCAGCTACAGAGATATGTGACGTATAGGCTTACCTCCTAATGAAACAAGCTTCCTTGCTTTTATTTATGCACTTTGAAGGGTCTAAATGGTCAGCAAACAATGGGGCTTTGCCAGCATAAATATGTAGTTACTTTGTAATTGGCAAAGCTAGATTACACTCCAGAAATACTCCTGTAATTTGGAAGTCATGTAGCAATGGTGGGTTCTATTTTTACTTAGACTGGGAGGAAGCGTTCTTAACTATCTCTGTTCACATCAACTGCATGTGTATACTTTTACAAACATCTACAAATTTTGTTTTGCTGTGCACATTCATTATTTGTAAAGCCCAATACCTGCCAGCTATTCCTATTTGTGAAATCTGCAGTGTTTGAATTTTGACTTTGAAACTGATCTATAAAGGAAGGAAAAATGCTTTTTAGGAAAGTAATTTCTGATAGACAAAGCTTGAGCCTCCTGGCTGGGTTTCTTATTTTGTTCATTGATTTGTTAGTCAATTGGTAAGGGCGTATTTGAAACCAGCTATGTGTCCAGCACTTTACTAAATTAATACAGTACATGAGACATTATTTCTGTACACATGAGCTTAAGAGAAATCAGTAGTTGGAG